GTCCTCTATTCGTCCATCCTGTATTCATTTATCCACCCAACAACCCCTTTTTCAGCCCGTATCCATCCATCCATTCGTTCTACATCCATTTCGTATCTATTTATCCATCTTGTATCCTTTCAGTCATCCTGTATCCATCTATCCATCCTTCGTCCATCCATCCATTAATCAAGCATCTAGCCGCTCATGTCCATTTCCATTTTATTTAGTACTCTTATTTTTTCCTGATAAAGCGTCTTTTTTCCCTGAATTCCCATTTACCAAGAGGAAAGGCACCTTTTTCCACCTGCGTATGCAATTTGCAAGAGTTTAAAAGGTGAACTTGAAAATGCCACTGGCTTCCATTCACAGCCCTTTCTGTGCCTGATAAGCTGTCTGCCAGTCTGCTGGTTTTTTTTATTTGTCTATTTGAGATAAAGAATCCTAATTCTATCACTACTGTTTAATGCCAGTCGACATGTGGTGCCTTCTCGGCTATGGGTAGCCAAGGTGTGATTAGTGTGGAGTTTTTCCAACAAAAGCTAGTGTAAGTGATTTTTCCAGTGATGAATAGATAAAACTAATCTTATGTAATGCAAGTCATGGCGCTTTCAAAGGGTGATCCTTCCACGGATGCTACTGAAATAAAGTACTACGAAATGGTTTTTTCCACTTCATGCCAAATTTTGTGATGCATCCACCTCTAGAGGGTGGAAATGGCAAGCTCTCTATTAAGAATCTCGTGGCTAAACTCCCCACTTCGATTGTTTGAACCTTTTACTTTCAAGTCATTGATCTAGTCAGAGTTGATAAGTCGTCTGCGTGGTTCTACCATCCCTGCATCTATCTTGCGTGCACTTATTCGGAGTCTGCCCATTCAACCTTCCCATCTATTCCTCTATAGCATCATTCATTCCAACCCCATTAACACTCTCCATCCACCATTCCAGCCATCTCGCATTCGCCAATCCTTCCATTAATTGGCTTGGTCTATTTTTGTTGCTTTCTAGTCCCATTAATTCCTTCTTTTATACATCATCCCGTCTTTGAGCGTCCACCGCTGAAATTAGGGCTGTCGATGGTAGCGTTCAACGCGCTTTGAGAGTTTAGTTTTGGACAGCGCGAACAGCTTCTTTTAAACTTTAAAAATATTTTTTTTCAGGTAATTTTTGTTTGAAGTCATGATCTCCCATTAAGTATTTCTGACTTTTTTAAAAATATTGTGTCATCGCGTCTGAAAAGGTCTGGTGATTTTTTACCTTAACTGTTTTTTCAACGTTCTATTAAAATACTGTAAGATCAAAGATGACAACTTCAACCGTTTTGGCAACTTTTTTTTTTTAAATTTAATTTCCTTTTTGCTCACCCCATGCGACCTCGCTGGCTATTAAAAGCCCCAATTTCCTTCGCTCCTTTGAAAGATTTATAAAAGGCGAATGAGGAGGAAGGAACTAGAAAAAAGGATTGAGTAGATTTTATTTTCGGAGGGAGAAATGTCTCATTCTTTACCACCACAACCTCCGTCACCACTCAAGGAGACGCAAAAAATGCCCTCCTTCCCACACGCATGCACGCTCAGCTCACGATTTATCCTACCAGGTTCTCGCTTCCTAGCTTGCCCTCCCGCCTATCCGCTTGCCTGCTTACCTGACTGGCGGGGTAGCTCGTTCAGAGCTGTTCTTTTTTCACTTTTGCTTTCCACCCAACGGAAGCTGTCACGTCAATGCTGCGCCTTCGTCCGCCCGCTAGCGAGTGAAAGCGCACGCGCTGAAGTAGAAACAAAAAGCGGAGGGCTGCGTGGAGTGAGAGTGACGGGGCGGGGGCACGCTCACCCCTTTTCCTTCCTTCTCCCCTCTTACAATTTGTGTGCGTGTGTGTGAACGCAACTCCGCTGTTCTTTCCTCTTCCTTTTTAAATTTTCTCTTCTGTCCCCCTGGCAATCGCGCCCCTCTCTTTTCTTTTTCTGTGAACATTGGGAAGTGAAAACAATGGTAATACTGGCGGCTATACGAGACTGTGGGGAGCTATGTGGATGGTTTGTCGAGTAACCTTTTCACTAATGGATCTACCTGACCTCGGTTGCTGCTGCTGCCGCCCTGGTGAAGGGGAATGTGCCAATTTGCGCGTCTGCATTAAGATAAATACATTCATGCGTACACAGGCGAGTAGGCAGACGGGCAGGTAATGGAAGCTGTGTGTGTTCGTGCATTTTTTACGCTCTTTTCACTGACAGCTTTGCGTGAGTGTGTGCATGTGCGAATGTGAATGCGAATACTTCCAGACTTATCAAATGTGCTAATTTATACGGTTGTGCACTGGGCACTCTGGCGTGATATAGGGCGCAAGTGATGTTCTCTTCTATTCTACCAATTAGTCTTCCTCTGCCATCTTCCACCTCATTGGTTCTCAATCTCCTCATCTTGGATCTAGACCTGTCCCGGATCCATTCCGAGTCTATGCATTCGTCCGTCCGCCTGTTCATCCATCTATTAGTTCATCCCTATAGCAGTATTTCCCTTTACCCACAAACTTTACTTAAATCTTAATCGACTACTTTCTGACGTGTGTCAAATTGTCAATGGCTTCTTTTCACACCAAAACGCTGTTCAATTTACAAGCTTGTCCATATTCTCTTCCACTTTATTCTTGCTGGCTTAAGCTTTTCAAACTACCGAAGTGTGAGTTTATGTATCAATAGGAACGATTGTATTCCTGTGTTTGTCTGGGTTAAGATTTTCCCATTACAAGGCAATTTAATTCTAGTCCTCTTGTTCCCTCATCTGCATTAATAGCTCTTCGAAGACTGTCTAGTGTGTTGAAGACCTAACGCCACCACAGCCACCCTTGAAGACAAAATAAAGCCTGTTAGTCTCCAACACAGCTTTTTTATTAATGACAGAGGAAGTCTGGACGTTGGAAAGACCCGCGTGGATGGGGTCTATCATTAAAACAAACATTCTCGTATTGTTGGCAATATTTTTACGGTAATCGTTTCAGAAATGTTTCCTCCTGGCATAACATAATATGCCTTAATTCTTGAAGTTCACCATCTTTCGACTTAATTGATTGATATTTTGAAACTCATGCCTTTTTAGAGATTTTTAAAGCATCTGCTTTGGGATAATGATAATGTTAAAATTAAGTGACTTACGGATCACCTCAATTTTGTAAAGGACTAGATACGTCATGATCCATGAACTTTCCTGTCATTCTTCGTAGTTTTTATCCCAATAGGCGAGCAGGCATACAGATCCGCTTCTATCACGCAATTTTAAAGCAAATCCGTCTGCCTTCAAAATGCCATGGCCTATCCAAGTTGAATTGCTTCTAGCTCCAGTCACATTTAGTCACCAACATCGTATTATCGAAAAAATAATACCTAAAAACAAAAGCTTCTTATTTAGTTTTTGCCTTCTTGTCAGACCAAGTGCGGGAAAATTTTACCGTGCCTTAGTGCACAGCTTGCCCCCCCACCCCTTCCCTCCCTCCTTTGGTGTGTCACCTGTGCTCCGTCAAAATTTCTCATCAAACTTTGCGACTCTCCTGTCTGTGGATTTCCACTGCCTTTTCTCACAGTTCATCGTCATACGCATACACACCTCTCAATTTTGCCTCCAGTAAAAAAAAGCTTCTTCCTCTACCTATCCGCTTGTGTGTGTGTACTGGTGTATGTGATGACGTCTGGTTCAAAGTTCACTCTCCTATCGCTGATGGTAGTGGTAAGATAGTGCGCCTTATGTCATGATTTTGTGAACAAAGACAATTATGTCAAGTGGTGTGATGATGGCTTTACAGACAGCCTTCAGTTATGGGGAATCAAGAAGATTGACGGGAGAGAGGCGATAGGAGATGGATATCAATAAAATGTGTACTGCACACACACACACAAACACACAAACATCATGCCGTATCTGCAAATGAGGCTGAATAAAATAAAATTGTTAATGAAATTACATTACCCTGTTTCAGCGCACAGGGAATATCAATGTTTCATGATTTGGTAAAGAGATTGCTCCACTTGGAAGAGGTTTTATTCCGTAGGCGGAGAAAAAGCCACCATTTTTAGGCGGGAAGCGATGCGAATCCTGCATTGCCCTTTGGATCTCAATCATTATGGTGACGTAGGTGAATTTAGAGTACTTTATAAATCACACTACAGTAGGAATGATTTAGCAGATCTGTGATTGTAATAAATGTTTTGTTCTGTTGCTGGCCTATTAGATTTCGCCAAATCAGACTTGAATTTTTTTCTCCACTTGAAAAGAAAAAAGGTCTAAGTGCCATTTTAAGCATATGTGAACGCATACTTATGACAGCCTTACTTGTAAAATAGTTCACCAACAGTTTAGTAACGTAAAATCTAATTTATTTTGTACATTTCCTCTCACTCCAATGTAATGTCATCAGTCTTACAAAATACGCTTTTACTAAGTGCGTTCTAGTAGTGCTCCACCTTCAAGATTCCCAAATTCCAGTGGTGGATTTGAGGGTGTCAGTCAAGTCTGCGGCCTATTCTTAAAGACAGCAAATGCACTCTTCTGTCAATAAACTTAATGAGGTTATCAGTGAAGCTGTTGTGGTTTGATTGAAACGTCTCGGTCTACACACTGGTCATGATTAAAAGGTTTGGTTAAATCGGGCGCCCATATTTAGTGATACAAAAATTGAATCACGTATGGCTACGCAAAAAAAGTACTGGCAATCTTTTGCTTGGAAGCAGAATTTAAAATTCTTATTCTATTTAATTGTCTTTTAAAAATGCTTCATGTTGTTAAGTGTCTCCCGTTATCAATCATCGTCATCGAGCCCCTGGCATCTAGGAGTGGAGGGATGGAAAAAGCATTTTAGCCAATCTGCTTAAGCTTATGAAAACATCACAGCAAAATTCACAACTCGGAATTTTGATATTTTAGTCATACAGGCAAAACCATTACCAACAATTGATGGGAACAGCGCCTCCCCTTCCTAATTTCGTGGTGGCCGTTTATTTCCCTCTGCTTCTGCTGGCAAAATTTTTAGCTTACTCTCGCCTACCATAGCGTGGTGTTTTTTTCTGTGGGCGTAGTGGGTTGGGGGTGGGGGCTCTGAACCCCCGTGTCTGACTTCCTCTTGCTTCCTCGCCCTCTGTCTGTCTGACTGGCCTCTGCCTACCACCCAAACGCAAACGTGCATGTACGCACACACGCGCGCATACACCGGTGTTTTTCTGTCAACTTGCAAGTGAATTTAGTTAACATAAATTGTAAGACGGCGCTTGATATAATTTATGCCTCTTTCAGCTGGTTGGTTTGCTTCCTTGCTGACTAGCCAACTGAGTGATTAGTTGGTGCGGTGTGGTGGAAATTAAGTGTGGCTGTTCCTTCGCCCTGGTTGACTGTTACTGTTGTCACCGGTGCTTCTGTTGCGACGCGTGTTTTTTTAACCAGTGTGATCGAAACACTGGCTTTTATGGTCTATCCAAGTGGATTGCTATGATTCACCATCCCTGCGACAACGATGGAGATGGTGATGATTGATGGTGCGATTTATTTATGAACCAGTAACCCCGACCCTGATGGTGAGATAGTGGAAGAATGTCTCTTGTGATTGCTATCATTTGGAGTAGAGTTTATCATATTATTTGTAGTTGTTCACTGAGGTAGTAGATGCTCCAACGGCGAAGGTGGATAAACGCATAACTTACCTGATCTTGTGACAATCCGAATGCTAAATTCATATTGAGCACTCATACAGCCTCTTCAATGACTAATCTTCTAGTTTTGAGATTAAACTTAGGGGTTTCCTTTTTTATTCATTTTTCTCGTCGTGGAGCCCTTGGCCGGCTAGATGGCTTGTGCGGTCCGTACTCATCGCATCAGCACCCTGAGGTGTATATAGGGGTGATGTTGCTTCCTCTTTGGTGCCCCTTGCGCTGTATGAGCTTCAGAATGGTTTTCAAAAAGGTGACAAGGTATGCTTTTATAAATTGCTAGTGGCGTCGATTTGTTAGATGGAGATTGTCATAACATCCTCGGGTTCGACACCTTACACTATTCTCTTGGGAGTTTATTAAAGGCTATTGCCTGATCGAACCAAAATCATCCGATCCGCTCCACATTTTTTTTCACCATCTTTGTTAAACATATTAAAAGTTACATTTTTTGCCATTTTGGACTTATGTGTGGCATTTGCCCTTATGGTCAAATTGTAGATTAAAATTTTAGGTTCCTATTCCGGTTCTTCTTTTTAAATTCAACCTAACGAGACACATTAATAGTGAAAAAATTCTTTCATTTTTTAATTATCGCTGCATACTCCGCGCAGATGTGCTTACAATAAAAATAAGCCCCAAATTTAATGTCCTATTAATACTACTTATGGTGTCACTAGTAGCGCTTTGGAAATTCGGAAGTTATGTAACTGGAGCAGCGAGAAGTGGGCATAAGCCGGCGTATCTCTGGTTAATTAGCGATTGTTTTGAGTTACTTATAACCTCAGGTACCAAGAAAACTCCTCTCAAGTCTCCATGTTGTCCCTGCTGTAGCCGGATTCTACGGGATGGCAGCCTATGGTCAGCCGATGTCCGGCCACTTCGGTGTAGCCCCGCCTTCGCCTTACGCTGCACCTTCAGCGGGTCGTCACTTCGCAGCTGCAGCGGCAGCAGCAGCAGCTGTGTTGGGCAGCTGCTTCTATCCAACTCGCTCTCCACCTGAAGCTGCAGTCTTCTCACCACCACCACCACCGCCTCCTCCAGCAGCAGTGACATCGGGGCCCTCTGCTGTCCCCCCGTCCCTTTCCACCCCTGGCACCGGCACTTCCTCCGGTACTACTCTCTCGGCACCCGCTACGCCAGCTGCTCAACATTCCTCTGCATCTTCCGCCTCCGCTAGCGCTGCTGCTGCGGCTGCCGCCACTGCTGCCTCTGCCACCGCTGCTGCCGCCGCTGCTGCGTTGCTCTCCAGCCCTCTGGCTGCTGTTGCGGCTGCCTCTTCACCGTCCTTCACCCCCAAGTGAGTCAATGTCGCGCACGTCACACATGTGGGCCATATTTGACAAAAAGAAAATAAACTAGACTGCAAAGGCTAAACGTGACTAGTTTGCACCTATTTTACTTGCTTGTTCATTATCATCCCTGACTAATGCGTGGTACAAAGCCTCTTGAACTGCCACTGTGTGATGGCTAGTGAAAGGTGTAGAAAATGGAAAAATGAGGACCGTGGGATAAACTAGGCCGCGCAATGCGCCGCTTTATGATTTTTTTTGGTTTTGTAAAGCATCAACTTATTTGTTAGGACCACATAATTGCCGTCAAAGCGACAATTAACTGCACCAAAGTCAGAAATGGAAGTAAAGAAAATAATGTTAAATATTTAGATAAGAGATTCCGACTTGAGGTCGAGAAACATCCACAACCGACGAGAAAGGTCTCGTTTGTTATTTTATCTCCAAAAAAAAATATTTGAAACGTTATTTTTAAAACCATTCTGCAGCTTTCATTCATTCCCTCATTTTTTTTCATATTTTCGCATGAAGACAAATTGTAACTACTCTAATACTTATAAGTACGATTCGTTTTTGCCCCCTTTTATCCTTTGCTCTCCAAATTCCAGCATCTTCAATCACGTTCCGCCACACAACCGACAAGCAGCAGCAGTGCATTTCCTCTCCAGTCTCACCGCAGCTGCGGCAGCGTCGTCAGCAGCCTCCTCCTCCGCCAGTTCGCCCCTCCCACCCCCATCCGCGCCGGTGGCACCGACAGCTGCGGCCGCCGCCCCGCCGCCACCTCCACCACAGGCCTCGCCCTTCGCCGCAGCTTTGCATCACTCCCTCGCCGTCGCCACCAATGGAGCCAGCGAGAAAATGGACGCGAGCAGTCCACATGCCACCGCGCTCTCCCTTCTCGCCCTCTCACCTGCCTCGCCTGCTGCAGCTGCTGTTGCTGCTGCCTATTGGTGAGTAGTATGCATTCAAGCCTCGCTAACACTTCTGAGGTTTAACTGATGGACAAGAAGGGGTTTACTTCTATTTTCCTCCCATTTAGTCAATCAAAGACGGGTATGCAGTTCGGGTCCTCGATGCTAGCTGCAGGAGAGGCTCAGGCCGCTGGCTCTCCGCTAACCTACACACAGCTTCAACCAGCTTCACAACAGCATGTCCCACCTAAGGACAGTAGCAATGTGGGTGGAGACTACGGAGCAGACTCAAGAGCTTCGCGATACCTTGTGGATGCTGGATCGTCGAAGAGGTGAGTTAAGGGTTAGATCTGAATCGACCTTGTCACAAACACCACTTTTAGTGATTTCTAGACCCTCAAAAAACATTTTTACTCATTATTTTTCACTTTCGAAGTCCTGCCATGCATATTTGTTCACTACTCAGGTCTGCTTCTTCTTTATATTTCTAGATGCACCAACAATCGATCCTCCAGTTCACTCAGTGGCGCTGGAGACAAGCATTCGCCCTCTCGAAAACTCATGCGCATTGGATCGGCCGGCAGTGGGGGTTCGCCACTTTCTGCAGCAGCCTCATCGCTAGACCAATGCTGTTCACCCGGTTCTCCACACACCACGGGTAATGCTAGTTCACCTTCTAAAGCAACGCAATCCACTTCTGCTTCAATCTCATCTCCAGGGCTGACGATTAACGCCGCTACATTAGCGCAGTATCGCCGTGAAATCACTACAGAGAACAGCGGAACAGGGGTGCCCACAAAACGGGTGCACATCAAGAAACCATTGAATGCTTTCATGCTCTTTATGAAGGAGATGAGGCCCAAGATTCAGGAGGAGTGCACATTAAAGGAGTCTGCAGCGATCAATCAGATTCTGGGCAAAAAGTGGCATGAATTGTCAAAGCCGGAGCAATCAAAGTACTACGAGCTGGCGCGAAAGGAGAAGGAAATTCACCGCCAGGTGTGTTGGCATCCCTTCTACCTCATCTTTTTAGGCATTGTTTAATTTTTACGGAAATTGAGTGCAAAAGGGCTGAAGAGCCACTGACATATCCCAAAGGTCATGACTTCCAGCGGAAGTACAATAGCAAAGCCTTCGCTACCCGCGTAACTAAAACGAAGAGTTGGACAAACAATCAAAGCACTACGCTTGTGAGAGCATCGAATTGACAATAATTTAAAGTAATAATATTGGCGTGGGATGCAGTAATTAATGGCATAATAGTTACAACTTAGGGAAGGTAATGCCACCTGTTTCGGTTTCGAAACAAAATTGGTCTAGCGTCATTTCGAAGAGGTTAATGTTAATTTTCAATCTGACAGCAAATTTCCTAACATTAAATCTCTATTGCAGCTCTTCCCTGGTTGGTCTGCTCGCGACAACTATGCAATTCATTCGAAACGCAAACGCAAGCGAAAACTCGCTGCTGCTGTGGCTGCCGCCTCGGCCATGAACGCGGGTGCAGGTGGAGAGGGTGGTGCGGGCTGTCGAGACCTATACGATGGAGACGGCTACTTTGGTGGAGGCAGTGGCGGGAGCGGTGGCTGTGGTGGTGGCTGTGGCGGTAGCACCTCTCTCAACGTCTCCACTTCCGCCGCCGCTCTTGCCGCTGCTGCAGCTGCAGCCGCAGCTGGTGTCGACCTGGGAAACCCCAAAAAGTGCCGAGCCCGTTTTGGGCTTGAGCAGCAGACCCGGTGGTGCAAGCCCTGTCGGCGAAAGAAGAAGTGCGTGCGATTTCTCACCGACGCCGAGTACGACGAAGCTCTAAAGGCCGGCAAGTTGCAGTCGGAGCCGTCTTCACCGCAACAAGTTGCAAGTAAGTCCACCGCTACCACCAGCACCGTAACGGGGAGAGCAAAAGACCAGTGGTCGGAGGCACACCA